GGCAAACGAAGCCTATTATGGGAGGCGGAGAAAAAACCCCTCGCCTGATGTTTGACTCCTTCACGACGAGTCTCGCCTCATGTTCTGCTCTCTATAAAACTGCAGTGTCTGAACAGTTTTCTGATTTCAACAAGCGATCAAAGTTCACTTCATTGCTGTCTACATTCACCCAGTGTTCATAAATCTTTTCAGTACTATTTGTAAAATTCCTCAGAGATGAAGTGCAATGCTCGTGCATGCCAACGTGCTATTGATTCGACTATGAAACGTCATTTTCCTGCTTTCTTGCCTTCATGTATTTTAGCTCTCAATTTATATCGATAGCTTTAAATTACTTATTGCAGACGTTGTCCTCAATAAAACGGCCAATGACTAAATTCTTTTACTATTTTGCATATGGAAGTAATCTATTAAAAGATCGAATTCGAGTGCAGGTAATTTCAAATTTTATGTTTTTCGCTTTATTTAGAAGAAAATTAAATCATTTTGAAGCAGTTTTTAGGATTAGCGTCTGTTTAAAAAAAGGAAATGTAGGCAAGATTTCTAACATTTGAATTATTCTTACACGGGTTTTTACATATTTCTGAACCTTCAAACCGAAGTAGAAGGTTCTCCGATCATCAAATGAGCTTCTTCAATACAATTTGTAATAATGTAGATTAGATATAATCATATAAAATCAACAAATTTAAGTAAACCTAGTCAATGTAAGTGAAGTTATTTGATCAGTTTTGTTTTGAAGATCCTATCACTTTAGATCAAGGGAGCTGAATATGAATGCAATGGAATTTTGAAAAATCACACTGTTGATTTTGTGGCAACGTCAAAACGATGGCATGGAGGTTTAGCAACGATCAGAGATAAACGAGGAGCCGAGGTTAGTATTAACCTACAGTACTTGTTTATGACTGACATGAAATTATTTTAATATTGGGTGTATCGGGCTTGAAACGTGTGTTAGTACACTGTAGTACTCATTAAAAGGCTGACTTGAAAGGAGGGTTCAAACCTGTACCATTATAAATTATGCCCCAAGAGGAACATACTGATCAATGAGATTTTTGTGCTCGAATTTTCTGACAGTTCTTCTACAATTGAAACCAAAATAATTCACATTACAGACATAAAAGAATGAAAAAAAGGTGATTTCTCATAAGGTATTGAAAGTCTTTTTGTAGGTTCATGGATGTGTGTGGCGAGTTCCGGAAGATTTTGCGGCCGAATTAGATCGTCAAGAAGCTGGATACCATAGACTCATTGGTGAGCAAATACTACTAAAAATCTACAAACTGAGCAAAGAGTCAAATTACCTGCACAAAATAAGATACCAAGTTGTGAGATTGCCCTTATAAATAAGATAGTTATGTATTTTCTGAAAAATTAAAGTAATTTTAGAAGTTTTTGGATTTTTCTGCAATTCCACATACTTTATATTATATATGAAAACCTATGATTGTAATGAAAACCATTTTTAGTGCCTATCGAGTGCTCCGACTGTGTGATTGAATGCCGAACATATCAGTACTCCAATGAAAAAGCACCTTTACAACCTCCATCACCCCACTATAAAACCGTAATATTGGCTGGTGCAGTAGAACATTCTCTACCGGCAGATTATATCAAAGGTGTGTTTAAACAATTTATAATTTTCAATAAAGATGAGGAATGAAGACAGCAAAAAATTTCAACCAAAAGTTGGATTTTGAAATATTTAAAAAACTCACTATTCGTTAGAGATTTGAAAATTTTTAGTGCAAAAGATCTATTTACCGATTTCAAATCCTTGTTTACATATATTTAAATACTTACAGCCTCATCTTCCTTTTTATTTTCTTATATGCTCAAATAAATAAGCTATCGTGTAATTAGAGTGAACGGAATTTTTCTTTCAGAGTTAGCTAGCATTCCTGATAACGGGTATAAAGGAAGAGTAGAAGTCGACCTTGAAGCGATTAAGCATTTGAATGTGGATGCTTAAATACTGTAATAAATATGTGTGTATACTTTGTACTGATTAAACTGTAATTTATTTATGGAAGAGCGAGTACTATGATTTTTTGTGTTAATGAATAGTAATGCTATTGTTTTGTTTATGTTTATGTTACCCAACTTGTTTCAACATTAATAGATGGATTGTTCAAATGAGACTTTAAAAAAAAGAATTTGATGGGAAGTAAAACGTCAGTGGTAGAATTTTCTTCGTTAGATATGGAGCGTACTA